GCACAGATAATTAACACGGCCAGTTCATCATTAGTGATTACACCATTTATCCAATCAGCGCAAGAGAAAACTCCTATAAATAACCAAGTACGTCCTACCTTCGTTATCTCTCGACTTTCAGCATCCCTCCACCACCCCGACCCAGCACCTTCAGCATAGTTTCTACCCCAGCACGGGGAGAAGCACTCGGTGGGAGCGCTTTTGGGCCGGGCTGGACACAGAGCTCGGACCCCTCTCCCCAGACAGAGGGAGGGTGCCCCGGGCTCGGGAGTCTTGCCGAGCTCGGAGCTCTCTCCCTGGACAGCACGCCAAATATGCATAACCTTTATTTAATTATATGTAAGTGTGAACTCGTGAAAAGCTTTTAAAACGTATGATATGCTTATCATTGTTTTTCAGTATACCATAGAAACATGTGGGAAAATTATCTACAAATACTGAAGCAGCAAACTTTGCAAAACACAAAATGTATGTCCAACAGAGCGTCTGTTAAAGATGCAGTTATGACGAAGTAGTATGTCCCAAAGCTTGCCTACTATACTGCTACATATTCAAAAGTATGTACTTTTTCTTCACAAAAAGAGTACATACTTTTAGGGCATAGTATAAGTAGGCGAATCACGACTTCTGGCAACAGCGGAAGTTCGTCGGTACGCTTGTGCACAGATATCTATCTATCTATCTACCTATCTATCTTAAAGCTTTTACAACTGCTTCAAACTTTCAGGCTAGGCTTTCTCATGCCAACCAAAAGTTTGTCTTGACAAACTTTTTATCTAGTTTTCATCTAGATAAATTCATCTAAATGCTGCTTGCAGCAGCATTGGTGGCATCTGGACGTTCACTAAAAGTAGCCTATACCACTGCAAAGGTATTTCAAACGTCTTTTTACCCCTAAATGGAAAAAGGACTTCGCCATGAATAAATTGGGGCCTTGATGACTCTTCACTGTCATTCTACCAATATCTCACAATATCAGCCATGACATCGCTCTGCAGAAGTGAATCACCGGCTGCATTTTTTATTGCATTTCTATATAATTACAGCTCATTTAAATGTTAGACGTTAGATTCCCTAATTAATTTTTCCACCAAATGATTGCACAGTGCATCATTAAATCCATCAGCAAATTCGCAATGCTCTGACAGTGTCCCAATGGTCTCTGTCTTGTACCTTTGCAGGTCTTGGGCAAGTGAAGTTAGACCTGGCAGGAGATTGTATGATTTTCCTTCCATGGCATTGAAGAGTATGGGTACATGCTTAGCATCTTTTAATTTCTCTATATCTGATGTGACATACACCAGCCACACAACTCCCTTTACAATAATAGCAATGGTAAAAATAACTCTCTTTAGCTATCCTTGTAGTTGTCTTCTACTTCCTTCTGATAGCCAGATGGCAGACTAGTGCACCATGGCACAGCATTATTGCAGTACTCAAGACTTCCGGTAGAGCCCTGTGAGGGACTACTGTATTTTCTTAATTCCATATAATCTTAGTATTTTTTTTTTCATCAAAGACATCATAATTTTGATATAAATAGTCATTTTCTATCCTGAATTTATCCATCTGATTTGAACATGCTGTAGGAAGGGGCAAGTCTGCTCTGAGACTTCAATGTAAATGGCCACTATGATTGACTAACATCTTTGCATATGAAATCAGCATTACATGTGGAACTCTCTCAAAAGCTTTCACTCTGTAATTACTTTACCAGCTGCCAAGATTAACTAATCATGCTGATTATAGCATTATATTTAGAACTACTCCCATTGTATCAAAATTTGCAACGCTGCATTGTAGCCAAACATAGTCATATCTACTGAGCACACAATGCAACGAATACTTTCATCATAACTAAAGCAGTGAAAACACAATGTGAATAATGGGAGCTTTGGCAAAAATGAAGAAATCAAATCACAGATAGACTCATGTTGATCTTGAATTGACTGCTCCAATAATTATAAAATGAACAGTCTTTGATCGCATTCTGTATATAGAATAATCAAAATATAGATGGTTTTTGCTGTACTGTGAAGTTGATTGTTTAGTTACTGACTTGATTCACTAATGCATAAACAGAAGTAAACCACTTTGCGACAATTAACGGCTGTACACTCGAAGCTCCCCTGAGGGCCCTCCCTGGACAATTGCACTTTTGTGGCGGCGTTAAGGTGTGATAAATAGATGTGATAAATAGAGGAAATCCTCCAGGTGTCCCTAGAGGGAGTGGTTCCCTTGCTCAAGGTATATTAACAGAAAGGAAGGATTGTCAATGGTGCAAAAAAAAAGTACCAAAATACACTAGACAAGAAAAAAAATGTCTGCCGCATGTAGCTTAAATCACTAGTTGGTTGTGTCTTCTGTCACCCGTTGTGTAGTATTAATCGCATGAAGAAGAATGTTTGAGGTCAAAATGATTTCAAATATCAACATTGGCTACCAGAAATCGCTTACTCTGCCTTTAATAACAGCCACAGGTAAATCCAAGAACTAAAGAGTGAAGCAACACAACGTAACCATAGACGAGGCCCGACACACTAAAGGTTAGCACACATGAACTTAAATATAATAGCAAACAAGGATGATTAGACACACACACCTGAACTAAATGCCAAAATCAAATCTGTAACTATGACAACAAATTAGGCAGCAAGTAATGGTGCAAATGAAAGCAAAAGTCCATGTGATGTGAGAGTGTGACAGCTCCTGAGCTCGTGAATCAGTATATCGTGTACACGAATCCTGGCACTGGTAAGGATCCTGGCTCATTACACATTGGGTCAGTGATCACTCAATTTCTGGTGATATGACTACGTACAACGTCACAATACATCATTGTAGAACGTCACCGCTGGTATTAATCAACAACAGGCAGGACCCATATCTTTTTGATATTATTTTTTATGCTCTTTAAACACATTGTTCTGTTACATATCCTTGCAACATTTCAGCCGAATATTAATTATAAATGTTAACTTGATGTGTTCACTTGATGTGTCTAGCGATGTGTGTTTGTGCTGAAATATACAAAAAAAGCTTTGTCTTTTCAAATCTTCATGTTATTATATTTGTGTATTTACACAAAACGAGAAAGCCAAAAAGTGTTGTGCCCCACTCTCACTTTTAATTCCATTGTTTCCAAATGTTGGACTTGCTTTGGTTTTGTAAAGAAAATACCTGCTTTAATTTTCTTCTCAACTTCATTTGTTGACTCCATCATTCGTTACATGCCAAATCTGGGACCCGTGCTATATTTTTTGAGTGCCCACTTTTGCTGCAATGAAAAAACCCGCCCGATCCCGCGAGATTTGCATTTTGCATTGACTCCCACGGGATCTGCAAAATCTCAATACCTTCACAATCTGTTCACTTTAGAGGGATCTGGGTTCATTTAGAGTGCACACAAATTCTTTTGACCTGCTGAAACAGTTTATCTCTAAAACAAAATTAACAAAACTTCTTGATGTGGCACTGATGTAGGACATGGCATTGATGTGTGTACAGTGTAGAACGTGTGACCACACATTTAAAAGACTTCTTTGATGCAAACAAAAAACAGAAATGACAGAAATGATAGCTGCTAAGTTTCTGACATAGTAGATGAGTAGAATGTTTGCATTCAAGCCCCTCTTGTTACCTCTCTTAAGTGGAAGTTTATTAAAGATGCACTTGTTTAAGAACAGTTCCCCTCTCCCTGTTACTAGGGGCTTTAAGTGGGTGGTCCCTCTCTTTTGGTTCCTTGGATTGAGCTCTCGTATGGTCTTCTAGTTCGGGCTGCCTCCCCTGTATCATACAGTAGTAAGCGGTCCACGCAAAGCAGCCTCTTCAGAGATGGTAACTGTCTGAGGATAGTTTCCCTTTGACGAGCTGCTCTTTGGTTTGGGCTATTTACTTTATAATTAGATGTTTTTAAGTAGACGGTCCACCATAGGTCCAGTTTCTTTTTACATTTTTGTCAAAGAGGTACCGGCTGAGGCTCGTTTCCTCTGATAAGATCTCCCCCATGAGTTGTGAGCTCTTTCCCTTCCTAATATTTCTGGTAGGAGGGTTGGGCTGCCTCCCCGCTTTCTAGGGCTTTAAGTAGGTCGTCCCCCTGAGGTTCCTTTTTGATATGTTAGGCTACCTCTCCTGATTTCAGGGTATTTTCAAGTAGGGGGTCCCCCGCAATCCCACATGCTTTGGTCTGTCTACCCTGCATTAGGGTTTCAAGTAGATGGCCCATTGCCTTTAGGAACATAGCTGTTTGAGGACAGTTGTGTTCCCAACTTGGCTGAATGTGGATGTCCCACCTTAAATATTAGTGTTGGTTGAGTTCCCCATTTCCCCCAAGTTATTTTAGCTGTCCGGGTGTCATTGGCGTGCCCCCCCTTTTTAATCGGTGTATGTTTGCCACTACTTTTGGTCTCTCTCACCAGGTGGACAGGCAATGCACAGAGGCATGGCATAGTGGGTATTTCATTCCCTATAGTGTCCAGTAGAGGACGCAGTGCGAGTTCCCTTGAAGGTGAACCCTCTTATACTTCGGGTGTGCTGCTAATGACGTCAGGGGCTGCACGGTCCAATGGATTGGAGTGTTTTCACATGTGCTTCAGACACCGGTCATGCTGATGGCATTCCCCATAGTTTCCACTAGAGGACGCAGTGTCTCGGTCCCTCTCAGAGAACCATGGTTACATGCGAAACCCGAGACATTTTCTGAGAACCTCCTTGTCGTTTGGCAGAGGACCATGACAATTTGCCTGCATATGATGATTTTCTGTATGTATATTTGTGCAGAAGAATTGTCATGAAGTGTTTTTTAAAATATGGTAATATTCAAAGTAATAGTGCTTTGATATCTAAGTGTAAACTGTGAAGAATTAACAAAACAACAGAATAGTCATGACATTCAGCCTCTTATGTAAGAAACAAGACATCCAAATAACTTGAGTGGTATTGTCATAATTTAGCTGGTAGATATTGGCTACAAATTTGTGACAACACTAGTGGGTATATTTTTAATCAGCAGTACTTGTGAGTGCATTTGGTTTTCATGATATGATAAATAAATACTGAGAGACAAAATTGTAAGAATTTTTTTTTTTTTCATATGTTAGAAAAGGTTCATCTGAACGTCTAACCTTTAGAGTGCTGTTGAGGGTTCTGATGAGATGTATCTTCTCATTGAGTGTCTGGTTTTTGGAACGCTTTATAAATGAGGCTCGTAATTCCCATTTTGATGATGGCTTCCGCTCACCCGTTGGAGACAAACTCGCTCTTTTCAAATGTAAGTACAATCTTTCCATCTCATCATCAGTTCCTTCCTGTCCATCTAGAGCTATTAAAAAATTATAAATTTTATAGCAAGACTGATGTTTAACCTAAGCAATCAAACCTTTTACAAAAGTTTTGATAGATTGATAGACCTATAACATACACTTCTAATATGCTCCAAATTGATCAGCAGTCATATCACTGGCTGAACAATGTAATTCCCTAGCATAAATCTGATGTTAAAATGGCCCCCCAACTTGCTTACTTTCTTGTCTGGTGTCAGTTGAGATCAGCTGTGTTTCTGGTTCCTCTGGCTCTGTGGATATTGCCATAGGTGATGTGCTAGATGAGCATCCAAGGGGGTCTTGAGATGGAGCTGTGGCTTCACGATGTTGTGAGGTTTCCTTTATTGAGGTGCTCATTGTATGGACCACAGCAGAGCAGACCACAGTTTCACCAGCAGTAGGGGTTGCCTGGGAGACAAGGTCTAGCCAAGACCGTCTATGCTTGGCCAGAGATGAGACAGAGCTGTGGGAGTTCATTGTACTGACGGGGGAGGAGAGGGTTCCAGTGGCTTCACTAGGAACAGGGGAGGAATATGGAGGAGGAAGGCTTCCCTAAATGGAGAAGATACCACAGAGTGGGGATAATGGCATACTCTGTTATAATATGTCTGATGGCAAATGTCTACAAAATTTCCAACATAGTTCCCTAATCAAAAACACCTGAACAAGCTAACCAAGGTATTTAAGATAACTAGAAATTTACAGGCAGGTGAGTTTGATCAAGGTTGGAGCTAGACTCTGTAGGAAAGCGGATCTTGAGGGCCAGAGTTGAGAACCCCTGTTCTAGATCATGGCTTTGTTTTATAAAGCCCCCTTTTTATTCTCAAAATAGGTATGAATTACATTAACCTCATTGACAGCTACCATGCTCTATGAAATGACAGACCACTAGTAAAAAAAAACAGATTTCTGTTTACTAAACATGTTCTCAAAATGATGTTGTGCGTCCTGAAAATTTAAAGGAGTCAGTTTAGTGATAGAACACAGTTGTCACTCTCTTTTACAACCAAGCTGTGTGTAAACAGTCATATTTACCACTTTAAACACAACTGACAATCATATTCTGCTGCTGTGTGAATGCAACCAATGTAAAAACAGTCAGAAACTTGAGGTTTCCAAATAATGTATGGACAGGCCTTTGGCATGAGGATAAGGCCACATACACTATGCATCTGTGAACTTGCCTGGTGCACAGTGGCCGATGGACCACTGGCATTTGCTACAGCTTGGGTGTGGTGTTCAGAGTACGGCGGTGGAGGCGTGTCAGTGGACTCCTCGTGATCACTGGCCTCACTGTAGCATTCTGTGCATTAGAAAAACAAAGATGCAATAAATAAATGTAAATAGATGAATATTGTAAAGAATACTTGTAACACTAGTACACTAACTCACACAACTTACCAGCTGTATGAGCCTCTGTGGGTTCATACTGAATAGATGCCAGACCAAGTTTATTCAGCCATCTGAAATCACAAAACATTAGAACACGTTACTAACAATTAAACATAATGACTGTCAAAATGAATGCTTTTATACACTTGGTTACTGTCGAGCACCATTCTTTATTAATTAAATGTATTTATTTAATTTTAAGTTTCCATCTGCTATATTCAATCACATGCCTTCTCTAAAAAAAACCCAAAGATATGTCAGTCAACTCAATGTCAGTAAATCCAGACACGCAAAATATCCGAAACAATCATACATGCTGCTCTTTGCAGTTTTGAGTCTTGAACTGTCAGAAACCAATGTGATTTCTCATGACACATATTTCATTGATATCTATCATAGCTTTTGTAGTAATGACATAGTAACCACTTACATCACCTTTCATTATAATCAAAAATCAAAGTATTAAATATCAACCAAAGAAACACACACTCACAAGAAAGTTCATGTTTGATAAACAAGAGCTCCCTGGTAGTTGTGTTGTCCAGAGCTACCAGCTCCTGGTAGAGTCTCCCTCTGCAAATTGGTCCCAGATAAAAGGCCAGACAAAGGAAGAGAGAGGGATACGGGGGCCCTATGTGAATGGGGCCCAGTTGGGCTCGAAAGAATAATGTGGGACCTTGTAGGACCATCTTCAAGGTGAATCCCACACACACAGGATACTGTGATACCTTTTGATACTGTGATTGGACTCTGTCCTTCTCTGGAGTCATCCAGGTTGAGAAACAAGTCCCGACTTGGTGCAACATTTTTGGAGTTTATCCTAGTTTAGCCCGAGAGGGTTGGCTCAGTGTGACTTTGTATCACAGAGGGGAAGACTCTGACTCTCATTGTGTTCTGTGCTTATGCACATTTCAGAGTATCTGGCCTTCTTAGAGACCTTGGATGGCTCTCTGGAAAGTGTTGTCAACTGATCACCACCTGGTGGTGGGTTGGATAAGATGACTGACTGACCTGGGAAACACCTTTTGCGAGTGAACAGGGAACGTTTGGCAGAGGACCCTGTCCGGTAAATATTTAACTCCCACCTCTGGAGGAGCTATTCCTTCATCCTGAGGGAGGCTGGAGAAATGTAATCAGAGTGGGACCTGTCCAAAATATTGAAAAAATGGGACTGAAGGGTGTGTTCTAATTATCAAGGGATCACAGTCCCGACTTGGTGCAACATTTTTGGAGTTTATCCTAGTTTAGCCCGAGAGGGTTGGCTCAGTGTGACTTTGTATCACAGAGGGGAAGACTCTGACTCTCATTGTGTTCTGTGCTTATGCACATTTCAGAGTATCTGGCCTTCTTAGAGACCTTGGATGGCTCTCTGGAAAGTGTTGTCAACTGATCACCACCTGGTGGTGAGTTGGATAAGATGACTGACTGACCTGGGAAACACCTTTTGCGAGTGAACAGGGAACGTTTGGCAGAGGACAAACACTTCTCAGCCTACCCTACCTGCAAAAGCCTATGCCAGAGTTCTGGAAAGGAGAATCCATCCAGTTGGAACAATGTGGACAATCAAGACTTACTGAAATGGTTTGAAAACTAGTGTGAAGCAGTGGGGACGAGGCTCAGGACCTCCAAATCTGAGGACTGAACCACCAAGGGGAAACAGGAGCTGAGCCCAAATGAAAAACTCTCAATTTACCAGGTGATTTATGTTCCGACCCTCACTTAAGGTCATGAACTTTGGGTAATGACCTATAGAACAAGACGTTTGTATAAGCGACTGAAATTAGTTTTCTCCGCGGGGCATCTGGGCGAACCTTGAGAGAGAGTGAAAAGCTCTGTCATCGGAAGAGACTTGGAGTAGAGCCACTTGCACCACATATTTGTGAGACATCCACACAAACAGGCAAATCCAATAATTACACATATTATTTCTTAAAAGCAACTGAATGCCTTAACGATCTATATCAACAGTTTATACAAACCACTACTTTGACTACTGTAAATACAACTATGGATATTGCTAAACAGATTATGTTTTTTTTTTTGCTTTGTCATAATGAGATGTCAATTGGCTTACAAGTTCATGTCCTCATTGCTGTCTGCTGCAAAGTGAAACATCATGACTTTGTGGTGGCAAGCTTTGATCGCACTGTGAGAAACAAAAAGAGTGTGAAGGGTTGTTCAGTTGAAAAATATTTGTAATTATCATGATGATGAGTATATTCCGATTCAAGGCCCTTGCATTTGGAAAACAAACAACTTTGTACTTTGTAAAGAATTAACAGGTATGAAAATGACACTTACTATTTTTTCTTACATTCCATCGCCCGGTCAATTACAAAATCAGTCAAATTTATAAAGCCTTCTGCTTTTTCAGCCTGGAAAAACACAAAAACACAAAACAAAAGTTGTACATACTGTATATATGTATATGATGCTGTGCTAACCTTTATAAATTATATTCAATAATAGGGAAAACAGCGTGAAAAGAGGAAGACACATAGAATGAAATGGAATTCAGAATTCAGATGACTCACCACTTGATTTGTGTACCAGTACAGAGAGGTTTTCTTTAGCACGAACCAATACTTTTTCCACTTAATACCCAGAAATCCCTTCCCCTCTTTCTTCCTATAAAGCCAGCCCTGATGGTCCACTGGGTCCAAATCTTTCACTGAAACTCTCCTTCTGCTCATTCTTGGACTTCCTATTAGAACAAATGTACAAATACAACAATAAAACAGAAATTATGACACATTTGACCATACCTTGTGTGGTTTGTGTAATGTGATTCAAACCTCTAAAATTCTTCTTCTTTGACTTCTGTCTGAGGGACACCTGAAGACAAATAGATGAAATATGCTGGTATTATCATGACCACACCATGTCTCGTTATTATGATTTCACACTTTCACAATGCAGACAAAAATAACGTAATGTACAATAGGTTCACAAGAATTACCGGATTGTACTCATCAGAAGCCATACAAGGAGCCAGGGAAATGGGAAAGGAGGCCTGGTAAGAGACCAAAGCAGACACAGTCAAAGTAATTATTAGGGTCTGTTTCAGTCAGGTCCCTTCATAGCACTTTATTTTACAGTCCTGTTCTACATTGTGCATATTATGTACTAATTACCTAGGGTGACCATATTTTATATTTTAGTTTTCCAAAAAGAGGACCGTTGGGGGGGTTGCCTAAAAGTATACTTAGCAAGGTTTTTTTGTGTGTGTGTGTATGTGTGTTTGTTTGCTTGTTATGTTTTTATAATAAATAAAAAGATGCTAGTGTTAGAGGGTCATTTTTAAATAAAAATAAAATAAGTCAATAGAACAGAAAAAGAATAGAGAATGTTAGTGTTAAAGGCTCTTTTTTTCTTTTTAAATAAAACAAGTAGAATAGAAATAGAATAGAGAGTGCAAATGTTAGAGTGTCAAATTTTTTAATAAAAAAAAAAACAAGCAGATAAAATTTAAATTAGCATTATAATAGAGAGTGCTAGAGTTAGAGGGACAAATGAAGATGAAAGAGATGTGTTTTCAGCTGTTTCTTGAAAACGATTAAGGACTCAGCTGCTTGGATTGAGCTGGGCAGGTCATTCCACCAGGAGGGAACAGTTGATGTAGGACTTGGCAACCCTGCATCCAAGAAGAGCTGCCGGAGTCAGATTTGACTGATCTCAGGTTAAGAATAAGGAGAGATGACTGACAAGACCATGCTGGAGTATTTGCTGCTCAACAGATCCTGAGCTCATTGACAAATATCTGATCTTGTAAGATGTGCTCCCTTCACACAGAGTGCGTGTGATCGCGAAATCAAAAGTGAAGTGAACAGCGTGAACGCTCATTCAAAAGAGATTTACAGTAAATACACCGCATCCTGAGAGCGGCTCCCTGAAACGCCAAAATTATATACAATATTAGAATGTTTAAAGGAGTGGACACGAAAATCGCGGAGCGAAACACATTGCGGGAGCAGGCGGCAATGGTCAGAGATTCAGCGTGAGTGGGATTAAGAAAACAGCCAAATCCTGGACATTTTGGGCGATTAAGTAATCCCGGCAAGGTTAGGCTTTCCTCTAGCAATTCTGCTATAAAGCCCAGATCTTTGGACTGTTGCAGTGATAATTGTCTGCAATCTACACACAATTTCTCCCATTTCCACACATCGGTTTTTGGTGACTTCTCTTACCAAGGCCCTTCTCACCCTTTTGCTCAGTTTGGCCAGATGAGTAGCTCTAGGGTCCTGGTCGTTCCAAACATTTTCCATTTTAGAAATATGGAGGACACTGTGCTTTTGGGAGTCTTTAATGTAGTAGATCTTTTGTAGCCTTCCTCAGATCAACACAGTTCTGTCTCTGAGCTTTGCAGTCAGTTCCTCGTGATTTGGTTTTTGATCCGATATGTACTTCTAGCTGTTAGACCATAGACAGGTGTGTGTCTTTACAAATAATGGCAAATTAATTAAATTTGCCATATGGACTCCAGTAGAAACATCTCAAATATGATCCAGAGAAATAGGATGCACCTGAGATAAATTCCTTATCAGGGTTAGAATTAGGAATTGAAGAACTGCACTATAGTGTAGGCCACCAAAAAGCTGAACATAATCATAAAAAAAACAACAACACTGGCATGGTATGGATAACTCTTCAGAATGTCACAACCAAACATACTATATATATATCCCTGCTTTATCAATCGTGAGAGCGGCTCCCTGAAACGCCAAAATTATATACAATATTAGAATGTTTAAAGGAGTGGACACGAAAATCGCGGAGCGAAACACATTGCGGGAGCAGGCGGCAATGGTCAGAGATTCAGCGTGAGTGGGATTAAGAAAACAGCCAAATCCTGGACATTTTGGGCGATTAAGTAATCCCGGCAAGGTTAGGCTTTCCTCTAGCAATTCTGCTATAAAGCCCAGATCTTTGGACTGTTGCAGTGATAATTGTCTGCAATCTACACACAATTTCTCCCATTTCCACACATCGGTTTTTGGTGACTTCTCTTACCAAGGCCCTTCTCACCCTTTTGCTCAGTTTGGCCAGATGAGTAGCTCTAGGGTCCTGGTCGTTCCAAACATTTTCCATTTTAGAAATATGGAGGACACTGTGCTTTTGGGAGTCTTTAATGTAGTAGATCTTTTGTAGCCTTCCTCAGATCAACACAGTTCTGTCTCTGAGCTTTGCAGTCAGTTCCTCGTGATTTGGTTTTTGATCCGATATGTACTTCTAGCTGTTAGACCATAGACAGGTGTGTGTCTTTACAAATAATGGCAAATTAATTAAATTTGCCATATGGACTCCAGTAGAAACATCTCAAATATGATCCAGAGAAATAGGATGCACCTGAGATAAATTCCTTATCAGGGTTAGAATTAGGAATTGAAGAACTGCACTATAGTGTAGGCCACCAAAAAGCTGAACATAATCATAAAAAAAACAACAACACTGGCATGGTATGGATAACTCTTCAGAATGTCACAACCAAACATACTATATATATATCCCTGCTTTATCAATCGGAAAAAAAAAAAAAAATGTATTCACGACAGAGGAACCCAGAAAAAGAGTAAAAGAGTTCAATGTCATAACAGTGCATTGAAACTGACGGTGGAAAAAGACACAAGCTAAACGAAACCCATTGCTCAATTTCCTCAAACTGCTCATGTTCCTCTTTGAATGGCAGAATTTTTTAAAAGAGCATTTTCTACAATGCAATGTAGACTTTTTTATGTCTGATATTTATCATAAAAAAAGGTTTGTTGCCATATAACATGAGTGGAATACCGTACCTTTTCGAATGATAAACCATTAACCATCATAAACAAGAATACAGGCTACCATCTATACTGCACTTATAAGTGACACGAAAATATGACTTCAGTGTCAAAATCTGCTGTCAATTTATGAAAAAAAAAAAAATTAGAATTCAATTTCTTTAAATGTTTAGATGATTACTCATAAGAAACATTTTTAATATCTCCAGCCTGCAGTTGATAACACTGCTGCATTACGGTACCTGTATATGAAAATATAGGGATACATTATCTGTTTTACCTGTTCACCAGACTTGACCAGGTGGAGCGTCTGACGTCTGACCATCTGTTTTTATACTCTGAAATGGCATGTAACTGTCCTCCTACCACAGTTAAAATTAAGTGGTCAAGCCCACAGCCAGATCATTTTAGAGAGAGAGAGAGAGAAATGACTTCTGCTTACGCAAGAAACATTTCAAAACATCCTCCACTTCTTATTCTACACAAACCGTATGAAAGCTGATTATGTATTATACACATTTAGCTGTTAATGTTAAATGGTGTTCACATGAAATAGAGGTGAACTTCTGCGACAAAGACCTGCACTCTTGCACTCTCAGCCATGTGTTGTGTAGTCTCTGCTACCACTGTTTGCAATATTCATGAATGAACCAAAATGTCTGCAAAAAAGCTAGTTAAGAGAACAGTGCAAAAAGTGTGAAAACACTAACACTAGAACAGAACATTAAACATTAACAAGTTCCCTTCTTCATTCACTTGCTTAAAAACAAACACACACAAAAAACAAATGTCAACAATTACCCTCTCAATGTAAAGCCATACCCAGCCAATACCATTTTACAATTTCAAATAGAATATTCAACAACTGTTTTGTCTTAGATCATTCAAATTTAAGCAAACTGAACAAGTTGCAAAAAACCTGAACAGTGACTGTTATTAAATGGACCCTTTTTATATTCCCAGTTTTCTCAGAAGTGGAAACCATAATGGGTGAACTTCTATGGTGGGGCATGGAATAATGGAAGGATATTACGTAAAAAGTGTTTAGGGAGCGTTACATAAAAATTGCACTCCTTAAGCAGCAGTGTTTTTATTATTATTATTATTATTATTATTATATTAAGATAATATAATAATAATGTTATAAATATAGACTAATTATTTAAATTACTTAAATATCTTGGAAATGCACAAGACTACAAATCCTTCTTATGTATTAATATGAAATAATGTTTTTAAAATATTTTGGCCACAAATCCATATTACTGTAAGTCAACTATTCAAAAAAGATGAAGATTTATTTGTTAATAATAATAATAATAATAATAATACATAATGGGTGAACTTCTATGGTGGGGAACGGAAGACTACAAAACAAAAATGCACTACTATGTTTCCATGTGTTTCCAGATGATATTGTCACGTTTCTGTTCTGTTGTGTTCTGCCCTGAATGTCAGCGGAGACCACGTCAACTACATGCGCCCCAGAGACAGATCCCTTGCGAAGATCTCGTCACCTTGACGACCATCGGCACAAGACCACGGGAACCAGACAAGTAAGTCCTCTGCACCTGTGTTGCAGCCTGGAATTAAACCATGCCATGCTGGTTTCGTCTGGCCAGAGAGAACTGGCCCCCCGACTGAGCCTGGGAAGGTTTTTTCTCCATTTCTGTCAACGATGGAGTTTTGGTTCCTTGCCACTGTCTCCTTTGGCTTGCTTAGTTGGGGACGCTTGACTGATTGCACAGACACTAGAGAACTGAACTGGATGATGGCATCACTGAATCACCAATGAACTGACTTTAGCTGAAAAATGACTCTATTGTCTTCTTGCATCATTGACAAACTATTTTCCTGTTTGACACTGTAAAGCTGCTTTGACACAACCAGTTCGTCCGTTTTGGTTCCTTGCCACTGTTGCCTTTGGCTTGGTTAGTTGGGGACGCTTGACTGATTGCACAGACACTAGAGAACTGAACTGGATGATGGCATCACTGAATCACCAATGAACTGACTTTAGCTGAAAAATGACTCTATTGTCTTCTTGCATCATTGACAAACTATTTTCCTGTTTGACACTGTAAAGCTGCTTTGACACAACCAGTATTGTATAAAGCGCTATACAAATAAAGGTGAATTGACTTGACTTGACTTTCTCTGCTTTCCAGTTTGCCTGTGTTCCCTTGTTTGTTTCTATGGTTTTTGATTTGTTAATTAGTTCCACACACCTGTTCTG